TGAGGGGTGGGTTTGGGGCTGTGCGTTATGGGGTGGGGAGGTGGTGCTGTGTGGGGTGCAGGGCTGGGGGTTGTGGGCAGAGCAGGACGGTATGGGGTCCCCGTGGGGTCCCCCTCCTCTTCATAGGGCCCCCATTCTACCCATAGGGCCGCCATCGTCCCCATAGGGCCGCATCCTACCCATAGGGCCCCCATCGTTCACAGTCTTCCCCCATAGGGCCACCATCATCTCCATGGTTCCCCATCCTCCCCCCATAGGGCCCCCATCCTCTCCACAGAATCCCCATCCTACCTATAGGGCCCCCATCATCTCCATAGTCCCCCATCCTCCCCCCATAGTCCCCCATCTTCCCCACAGATACTCATAGGACCCCATAGTTCCCAATCTCCCCCATGCAGCCCCCATCCTCCCTCCAGCATCAGGAGCAGCGCTCTCTGTAGGATCTGCTCCTCTCTCTCCCCACACGAGTTCTTCCATCAGCCATCAGCAGAGGCTCCTCCTGTGCTTCATTCTAACCCCCCCCACCTCCCCCCCCCAGCTATAGGATATGAACAGGATCCGGATCCACGTCCTGCCATCCAACCGCGGCCGCCTCACCCCCATCCCACGGCCTCAGGAGCCTCAGTGCTGCTCCTTCAGCCAAAGGCAGTGCTCCCAGCCCCGCCTGGACGGCCACGACTTCTGCATCAAACACATCCTCGAGGACCGCAGCGCTCCCTTCAAGCAGTGCAGTTACATCTCCGCCAAGAATGGGAAGCGCTGCCCCAACGCTGCCCCCAAACCAGAGAAGAAGGACGGGTGAGTGAAGCGAAGGCCGGGCTGTTCAGTGGATTAGGAATAGGGTTCTGTGTCGGGGTGCAGGCTGGTCACAAGCTGTGTCCCTCAGGGGTCGGTCTTGGGGCTCTTCAGCATCTCCATCACTGACAGACGATGGCATCGAGGGCACCCTCAGCAGGTGACACCCAGCTGAGCAGGCCATCCATTGGAAGCCATCCAGGGGGACCCGGACAGGTGGAGAAGTGGGGCCACGAGAACCCAGTGAGGTTCAGTAAGGCCAAGGGCAGGGTGCTGCGTTGGGTCGGGGCAGTGCCAGGTGTTGATACGGACTGGGGGAAGGTCTGGAGAGCAGCCCTGCGGAGGAGGACCTGGGGGTCCTGGTGGGTGAGAAGCTGGACATGAAGCAGCAGTGTGAGCCTGCAGCCAGCTGTGTTCTGCATTAAAAAAGGGGTGGCCAGCAGGGAGAGGGAGGTGATTGTCCCCCTCTACTCAGCTCTTGTGAGGCCCCATCTGCAGCACTGCGTCCAGGCCTGGGGCCTCCAAGCACAAGAAAGATGCAGAGCTCTTAGGTCAGGTCCAGAGGAGGGCACTGAGACGTCAGAGGGCTGAGCAGGAAAGGTTGAGGGAACTGGGGTTGTTTAGCTTGAAGAGAAGGCTGCAGGGAGACTTCATTGTGGCCTTCCAATATTTGAAAGGAGCAGATAAACAGGAGGGGGAACGGCTGTTTGTGAGTGCATAGTGATAGGACAAGGGAGAACAGTTTTAAAGTGAGACAGGGGAGGTTCAGGTTGGATATGAGGAGGAAGTTTTTCACCCAGAGGGTGGTGAGGCACTGGAACAGGTTGCCCAAGGAGGCTGTGGATGCCCCATCCCTGCAGGCATCCAAGGCTCTGGGCAGCCTGGGCTGCTGGTTGGCGACCTGCACACAGCAGGGGGTTGGAGCTGGGTGAGCACTGTGCTCCTTCTCAAGCCAGGCCGTTCTGTGATTCTATGAGGGCCCCTGGTTTGCTGTATCATCAGCAGCGGGAGGTTTGTGGTGTGCAGCGTGGGGCTGCTGAGCTGCTGTGCTTTTATTGCTGCTGTTGGTGAGCACAGGGGATGCTCAGAGCACTGCTACCACAGGGATTTAGGGGGGATTGAAGGGAAAATCATTGCTCAGAGGGCAGTGAGGTGATGGTGCCCCATCCCTGGCTCTGCTCACAGCTGTGGTTGGTGCTGGTGGGGTTGGGCTGCTCACATGTCACAGAGATGCGAGCAGTGAGATTTCATTTTGCCCCTCTGCCCTAAAAAAGGGGCCGATGTGAACAGCTCAGCGTGAGCATTTGGAGCCAGAGTTGCTCTCTCCGTGGCTTTAAGCAATACTTTCTCTCTCCCCAGTGCTGAGGGCTGTTCCAGCACCGCTCCAAGGAGCCTTTCCCACCCGTCTCCCTGCTCCGTTTGCTGGCTTTGGGTGCTCACTGTCCGTCTGTCTCCCTGCAGTGTGTCCTTCTGTGCCGAGCACGCCCGCAGGAACGCCTTGGCACTCCAAGCTCAGCTGAAGAAATCCAACCCCGGACCCATGAGTGAGACACTGCTGTGCCAGCTCAGCTCCTATGCCAGGACAGAGCTGGGCTCCCAGAGCACCGAGGGCGGCCGCAGCGAAGCCAGCCGCATCCTGGGTGAGCACTGAGGGACCCGAGCTGCTCCTTTCTGCTGAGGGTGTAAATCCAGGGAAGGGAAGGGGTCTGTGGGTCGGAGCACACAGGTGGGGAGTCACCAGCAGGTCAAAGGCAGGCAGGTTTCCCTTTGCTTGCAGCTGCAGGGTGGAGATGCTGAGCCTGGAGGGGGGAGGACTGCAGGGTGAGCTGGGGTTGGCCTCTCCGTACCCACAGGGGCTGGAGGACAGGAGGAGGCAGACTGGCAGGGTCTGCTGAGGCAGGACAAGGGCAGATGGTTTCAAATGAAGGGGGGGGATTTAGGCTGGAGATAAGGAAGGGGTTTGTTACAATGAACCAGAGGGGTGGTGGATCCCCATCCCTGCAGACACACGTGATAAGGGGATCTGAGCTCTGCGTGGAGCTGTGGGTGTCCCTGTGTGCTGCAGGGCGGTGGGACCTGATGCCCTTTGAGGTCCCTCCCAGCTCTGTGTTGCTCACCTCCTTCCTGGCTGCTTGCTGGGGCCGGGCTGCGGCTCCTGGCCCTGCAGGAGTGTTGTTTCACATCAGCACTGCCTTTTGGCCACGTTGTGTTTCCTGTTGGGAGAGTTTTGCTCACACCACACTGCAGAGGAAGGGCTCTTGGCAGGAGGCAGAGCTTCATCACACAGCTGTAGGGCTGAGTGCTCCGTGCCATAGGGGCATAGAGCCACCAGGGCTAGAAAACAGCTCTCAGATCATCCCCCCGTCCCAGCCTGCCCCACAACCACGTCCCTCCTGCCCCATCACCGTGTCCCAAAGTGCCCCAGCTCTGCCCTCCTCACGCTGGGCAGGGTGCCATCTCCTCTCTGTCCTATCTCCTGGTGTCACTTGTCGTTGCAGATGAGGACAGCTGGAGTGATGGGGAGCAGGATCCTATCACGGTGGATCAGACGTGGCGGGGGGACCCGGACAGCGAGGCTGACAGCATTGATAGCGACCAGGAGGATCCCTTGAAGTGAGTTTGGTGATAACAGGCTGGCACTGCACTCTGGAGGTGACATCGTTAACAGTGCTGCCATCAGACTTTGTGCCTGGGGGGGGCTGTGGGGCTCAGAGCTGCTGGGAGCTTCCAGTTCTTTGGGTGTAAATCCAAGGAAGGAAAGGGATCTGTGGGTCAGAACCACAGGTGGGAAGTCAGTAGCAGGTCAGAGGCAGGCAGGTTTCCCTTTGCTTGCAGCTGCAGGGTGGAGATGCTGAGCCTGGAGGGGAGAGGATGATGCTCTCAGTACAGAGCAGCCTGGGATGGACACAACAAAGTGTCCAAGGTTTGGCACTTGGTCCAGAGGAATGCCAGGCGTTTATACAGACTGGGAGGAGCAGCCCTTGAGAGCAGCCCTGCAGAGAGGGAGCTGGGGGTCCTGGTGGGTGAAAAGCTGAGCACGAGCCAGCAGGGTGTGATTACAGCTGGGAAAGCAAATGGGATCCTGGGCTCCATCAGCAGAGGGGTGGCAGCAGGGACAGGGAGGTGATCGTCCCCCTCTGCTCTGCTCTTGTGAGGCCCCATCTGCAGGAGATGGGAGCCCCCAGGACAGGAAAGGCAGGGAGCTGCTGGAGGGGGTCCAGAGGAGCCATGGAGATGAGCAGGGCTGCAGCACCTCCCTATGAAGACAGGCTGAGGGAGCTGGGTTTGTTCAGCATGGAGGAGAGAAGGCTGCGGGGTGAATCATTGTAGCTTCCAGGACCTCAAGGGAGCCTGCAGACAGGAGGGGAATCAACTCTTGGGAAGGGGAGATAACAGCAGGACAAGGGGAAATGGTTTGAAGTTGAAGGAGGGCGGATTTCAGTTGGATGTCAGGGGAATTTGTTTGCTGTGAGAGCGGTGAGGTGCTGGAACAGCTGCCCAGAGAGGCTGTGGATGCCCCGTCCATCCCTGAGGTGTTGGAGGCCAGGTTGGATGGGGCCCTGGGCAGCCTGGGCTGGCATTAAATGTGGAGGTTGGTGGCCCTGCGTGTGGCAGGGGGTTGGAGCTTCGTGATCCTTGAGCTCCCTCCCAACCCAACCCTCCTGTGGTTGTGTGACTCTTTGCACAGCTGCCCCTGCTGCCCCTCAGCTGTGTGTGTCCTGCAGGCACGCCGGCGTGTACACAGCTGAGGAGGTGGCCCTGATCATGAGGGAGAAGCTGATCCGCCTGCAGTCGCTCTACATCGACCAGTTCAAACGGCTGCAGCACCTCCTGAAGGAGAAGAAGCGCCGCTACCTGCACAGCCGCAAGGCGGAGCACGATGCTGTAGGCAAGTCGGGCAGGGTTTGGTGGCTTCAGCACCCTGAGCTGCCCTGGGACACACAGCCCCGTGCTGGGAAATGCTTCCCTGCCCTTTTCTTTGTGTGCCTCTGTAATTAGCAGAGGGCTGAGGGCTGGGGGAGGTATTTTAGGGTTGGCTCCGTGCCTGCGGTGAGCTCGGAAAGGTCGCCAAGGCTCCGAGCTTTCCAGAGTCTGCAGGAAATGAGGCTGCAGGGTTCGTTCTGAGACAACAGTCGGGGTTGTTGTTTTTTTTTTTTTGGATAGGATTTCCTGTTTTTGGGCTTGGAAACGAGAAATGAGTTCATCCTCAGGGCCCTGCCTGGATTGCAGGACTGCTTGGTGGTCGTTGTGCTGCGGTGACGCAGTGCTTTGTGGCACAGATGGGACTTTGCTGCCCAGGTTGCACTGCTGGTCGCGTTGTGCAGGGCAAAGAGAGCTTGCCCTGCCCAGCCTTATAATAACTCCTGGAAAATGGCCCCGTGCTGCACCGTCTGGGTAAAAATAACTGGGATTTGGGGCCGTAGCAATTTGGTTGAGCTCGTTTTAGCAAAGCGGCGGCGGAGGAGCAGAGCTGCCCTGCAATTACAGCGGGAGCAGCGATGGCAGCTTCCCAAGTGAGTGCAGGAGCGGGCTGGGATGTGATGCACTCCTCTTCCACGCGCGGGGACGGCTCACAGCTTTGGCTGGGTTCTTTTAGGAGGTGGTTCAAAACAGCCCCGTGGGGAGCAGTGGGGATTGGCTCTGCTGTGCGACCCAGAGATGTGCCAGCAGGAGGAGCAGCGCCGACCTCAGCTGCGCATCAGAGCTCTGGCACCCGATTTTTGGCCCTGGATACCCCGAAAACCCTCAGATGGAACGAGAGGAGGGCGGTGGGTGGGTGCTGTCGCTGAGCCCCCCCTGTCACCCCGCAGGCAGCAGCCTCCTGACGGGACCTGAGGGGCTCATGGCCAAGGAAAGGGAGAACCTGAAGCGCCTCAAATGCCTGCGGCGTTACCGGCAGCGCTACGGCGTGGAGGCTCTGCTGCACCGGCAGCTGAAGGAGCGCAGGGTGATGGCGACCGACGGCGCGGCCCAGCAGGTGTGTGGGGCTGTGCCCGGGGCTCTCAGCCTGGCCCCACAGCTCTCTGGGGCTCTCCCAGCTCTTCCCAGTCTGCCCAGTGCGGAGCAGAGGGGGGGAGCGCCTCCCTGCCCTGCTGGCTGCGCTGTGCGCGGTGCCTCCAGGGAACTGTTGGGCTTCTTGGCCACCAGGGCATGATGCTGGCTCATGGCCACCCATTTACTGGTCAACCATTGGTCAACCATTGGTCAACCGGGACACCATTGGCTTTTGTGGCCACCATGGCACACAGTTGGCTCATGATCACCCAGTTATTGGTCTGCCATTGGTCAACCATTGGTCAACCGGGACACCATTGGCTTTTGTGGCCACCAGGGCGCACAGTTGGCTCGTGGTTGCCCACTTATTGGTCTGCCATTGGTCAACCATTGGTCAACCAGGCCACCTTTGGCCTTCATGGCCACCAGGGCACGCTGCTGGCTCACCGTCACTCACTGCTCACCCATTGCTCACCCAGATCCTCCGCAGAGCTCCTTTCCAGCAGGTCAGCCCCATCTCCCTCCCCACGCATCCCCCCACGTAGGGCCCTCCGCATTCCCATGGTGTGTGCACCCCTCCCTGAACAACGAGTGGGAAACATCCCTTGGTACAGTGATGAAGCCTGAGAGCCCTCCCAGCCCCCCATTGCAGCCCCCCAATCACCCCATTCAGAGCTGGGTTTGCTCTGGGAGGGGGGGGTCCTCTGAAAGCAGGCGTTGCTCTGAGCTGTCGCTGCCCCCCCAGGCTCACACCACGCGCTCCAGCCAGAGATGTTTGGCCTTCGTGGACGACGTGCGCTGCTCCAACCCCTCGCTGCCCATGGCCAGGCACTGCCTGACTCGTATCCTTCCACCCTGCCGTGCTCTGGGACCCCCCACCCACGGTGCTGGGACCCTCCTGCCCCCCTCTCCGGCCCTCAATCAAGGCCGGCGGTTTGCTGTAGCCGTTGGTTTCAAACAGGAGCCCAAAGCAGTGTTTTCCTACGGGATGCCAGCTGAGCTCGGGCGCCTCGAGGGCACGGCTGGGCACCGGGGACGGACACGGGGTCCTCCCAGCTGCAGGGCCTGCACTGCGGGTCCCACGCTGGGCTTTGCAGAGCGTGGGTTGGGGCTGGAGGATGGAGCAGGTCCTGCGTGGTGCTGCGTCCCCTCAAGCTCAGGAGCTGCTCTGTGTCACGGCTGGGTTGTGGGACCCCCACCCAAAGCTGGGAGCTCGGGGTGGGCGCTGGGGGGGTGCTGAGCTGTGGGGCAGCAGTGGGAGGCTGAGCTCTGGGGCTTGTTGCTGCAACTGTGTGCTGGGAGCTGCTGGTGTTCCTCCCTGTGGCCGTGGGGGTGGGAAGGAGGGCCGGATGCAGCCCCCCCATGTTCTGAGCAAGGCACGCTCAGAGTGAGTGGGGGAGTGGAAAAAGTGGGGCTGGGTTTCCACGCATCTGAGCCATCAGCTGTGCAGTTCACCCTCCTGGCAGTGTGTGCTGTTGACCCCACTGAGCGCGGAGCTGCGGTCAGTTGGGAAATGGGCTCAAACCCGACGCCTTCTGCCAACATCCGTGGGGCTGAGCTTTGCTTTTTCCTCTCCCATAAAGGAGAGGCTGCAAAGGGGATGCCTCAGATTGCAGCAGCCCAGCTGGGTGCTGAAGGCTGGGATTCTGGGGTCTGACCCCAGAGTGGTGCTCTGTGCTCAGCACCCGGTGGATTTGGGGGATATGGGATACGGGTATGGATTTGGGGTACAGGTATGGATATGGGCTATGGGTGCATGTTGGTGTTCTGCCCAAAGATGGGCTTTGCTCTCGTGCTGCTCTGCACAGCTGCAGCGGTGCTGATGAAAGGCAGGAAATCCTATTGACACCTCAGACAGGAATTGGGTTTTTCCCTGGGAAGGAAAAAGGGTGGAAGCAGCTGAACCGCGGTCCTGGCTGAGGGAGGGCACTGCAGCCTCTGTGCTGTACAGGAGATGCTCTGAAATGGAAATTATCAACGTGCTGCCCAGGGGAGTGTGGGTGCCCCATCCCTGGAGGTGCTCAGTGCCGTGGGGGGCTGATGGCGGTGGGGCTGGGGGGCTTCTGGGCTCCCTTCCCACTCAACCATTCTGTGGTTCGATGATGTTTCAGGTTTCTTCCAACCCAACCACTCAATGGTTCTACAGTCTGTGATGTCTCCTCCAACCCAACCTTTCTGTGGTTGTTTGATCTTGGAGGCCCCTTCCAACCCAACCATCCCACGGTTCCATGAGTTTAAGGTTCCTTCCAACCCAACCATCCCACGGTTCTCCAACCCAAACATCCCATGGTTCCATGATCTTTGAGGTCCCTTCTATCCCAACCCATCCTGTGGTTCCATAATATTTGAGATCTCTTCCAACCCAACCATCCCATGGTTTTCCAACCCAGCCCACCCTAAGATTCCATCATCTCAAAGGCCCCTTCCAACCCAGCCATCCCATGGTTCCATGATACTTGAGATCCAACCCAACCATCCATTGTTCCATGATCTTTGGAGTCCCTTCCAACCCGACCATCCATGATTTCATGGTATTTGAGATCTCTTCCAACCCAACCATTCCATGGTTCTCCAACCCATCCTGTGTTTCCATGATCTTTAAGATCTCTTCCAACTCAATCATCCCATGGTTCTCCAACCCATCCCATATTTTCATGATCTTTAAGATCTCTTCCAATCCAGCAGTCCTATGGTTCTCCAACCCATTCCACGGTTCCATGATTTTAAGGTCCCTTCCAACCCAACCATCCATTGTTCCATGATCTTTGGAGTCCCTTCCAGCCCGACCATCCATGATTTCATGGTATTTGAGATCTCTTCCAACCCAACCATTCCGTGGTTCTCCAACCCATCCTGTGTTTCCATGATCTTTAAGATCTCTTCCAACTCAATCATCCGATGGTTCTCCAACCCATCCCATATTTTCATGATCTTTAAGATCTCTTCCAACCCAGCAGTCCTATGGTTCTCCAAGCCATTCCACGGTTCCATGATTTTAAGGTCCCTTCCAACCCAACCATCCATTGTTCCATTGGAGTCCCTTCCAACCCAACCATCCATGATTTCATGGTATTTGAGATCTCTTCCAACCCAACCACCCGTGGTTCTCCAACCCATCCCATGTTTCCATGATCTTTAAGCTCCCTTCCAACCCACTCTACGATTCTCTCCCTGTAGTCAGGCTGTAGCCATACTGCAGTTTTCCCTTGACCACATCTCGCAGACATCTGCCAGGACACCAACCAGACGCTGTTCAAACCGTGCCAGGGCTCTGAGGAGGTGCCCTGCAACAAACCCGTTCCTGTCAGCCTCTCGGAGGAGCCCTGCTGCCCGCTGCACCTCCGCCTGCCCCCCCAGATGTACGTCCCTGAGCAGGTGCTGGCTGTCCCCGAGGAGCTGGAGGCAGCCCCCACTGACCTGTACCTGAGTGCTGCGGAGCTGCAGCCCACCGAGAGTTTGCCCCTGGAGTTCAGCGATGTAAGTTGGACGTGCTGCTGGAAGGGAGGTGTCCCAAAGCTCCTCCTTTTCACCAGTGAACGTAGGTGGGACACGGGGAAAGCTGGTGCTGGAGCCTCGTGTGCCTCACGCACCAAATTTTATCCATCCCATCCCACACCAACCATCCCACGGTTCTCCAACCCATCCCGAGGTTCCATCACCTTGAAGGACCTTTCCAACCCAACCATCCCATAGTTGTCCAACCCAACCATTCCATGGTGTTCCAACCCAACCCAACCCATAGTTCCATGATCTTTAAGGTCCTTCCAACCCAACCATCCCATGGTTTTCCA